CATTTCCCACATCCCTCCCACCCAAACCCTTTCTTTTTGTCTCCTTCTCTTATCCAAATACAGGAACCACTGGGGCTCTCTACAAGAGATACGAAGAGACAGTTCCCCCACTCAGTGTCTCGCAACCCACTCAGTTCCCTCTTACATCGCGCCCAACCCCTCCATCCATTCATCGATCCGCCAACCGACCTTCATTCCTCCTACCTTCATTCCTCCGACCTCATCCATCCCTCATCCCTCGAACCTACCTCCATCCCTCATCCCTCGAACCTACCCCCATCCCTCATCCCTCGAACCTACCCCCATCCCTCATCCCTCGAACCTACCCCCATCCCTCATCCCTCGAACCTACCTTCATCCCTCGAACCTACCTTCATCCCTCGAACCTACCTTCACCCCTCATCCCTCAGTATACCACATTGGTTCACAATTGTTCATTATGTGCAATAAACGTTTCTTATTTCATACATTTGATGGCGTGGTCATTGTTAGTGAACCAGCCAATGACGTAATAACTTATTACATTATTGGCAAAATGTTATTACCTTATTGGCTCAAAAACGTTATTACATTATTGGCAAGTTATTACGTTATTGGCTTTATTACATTTAAAATGGCCAGAGTTATTACGTTATTGGCAGGTATTACATTATTGGCAGTTATTACATTATTGGTTGCTACACACCCTGTTGAGCAGAACAGACGCACTCCCCTCCTCGCCTGCTTACAACCATCTAACATACTGTAGTGACTGTAGAATTCAGTTAATTTCATCTCGCATGGTACTGTAGTTAGGTAAAGGAGAGAGAGTAGCGCTGACTGCACACTCTGGTATTAGATCACACTATGAAATGTATTTTTACAGCCTTGATTAAGCTGTGGGTGGTATTAGCCAGGAAAGATGGACACACATGTAATTTTAGGACACTGGTTGTTTCTCCAATACATTTTGAACTAATAAATCATTATGAAGTAAAATAAAACTAAAATAAAATTTGTTGGTTTATACTTTCACATCTCACAACTAAGCCAGCACTGAAGACAAAGCTCAACATCATCATCATCATCACATTTACTCTTATTCATTTGGCATTTGGTGCTTTAGTCCAAAGTGTCATACAAATGGCCGACTGTAAAATGTGTATATGGCAATTAAAATAAAAATAATAATAACTTTGACAAAGAAGTTGGTAAATAGTAATTTGTCACAAACCCATGAGAATAGTCTCTTCTTAACTCTGTCTAATAAACTCTAAAAGTTCATTTACAAAGCATATTGAAATGATTGGTTAGCATTATAGGCCATTTGGGTTGAAGCTGTCTTTCTGACATACAGCAAGTACTTCAAGCTGTTGCTTTTCCACACACAAACCCTCAAAGTGAAGAAAACGACTGCTTCAAGGAGGTTTTAAATGATTGTGTGTTGAACTTTAATATATGAAACTTGACCCACCAAAAGGGTAAGTGCAATGAAATAACTCATTCTCTGATCTGTACCAAACTCTCCAACTCTGCTTATAGGCCTCCTCAGCTGAGAAGCATTAAATAAAAGAACAAGAACAAACTGCTTGACAAAGAAGGAACATTTAATAAACAAAGTAAACAAAGGTCGTTAAGTGAAACAACCAAATAGCTACTATCACTGGTCTCTGAATGTGATTTTTAACCGTTGAATAACTTTAAAGGTCTCCAAGCCATAGAGAGCGCTGGCATTCAGCGCTGGCTCAGAACACTATTCATCATGTTAAAGGAGAAGGGACAATATTCATATTAGCTGTAAATCAAGACATTATATGTAATCCATTGAGGTTATGTGTGGCTTTATGTTTAACTTTGTGTTTATTCTATCTCAATGAGAGATTTCTTAAGAACCGGGCTCAGGTCAAAAAAGATAAGATTTGGCAAGAACACCAGGAAGAACCACTCTTATGTTCCAGAGAACCAGAGAAGGGGTTATAAAAGAACATGTGATGAGATTAATAACTCTGTTTGTACATATTTCTCACGCAGTCTAAATGAGCTGTCCTTTCTCCTGTACTGTGTCTTTCTCTGCAGAATTTACTCAGGCTTTTATTACAATCAATAAAAGTCTAATTTGTTAAAGATCTTCGGCTGCTGTTGATTTCTTCTGCCACCACAATTGTTATGTTTTACAGTGTTCATTGCTTATTTATATTATTTAATATTCTTATTTTTATTGAATTTAAATGTAATTTCAGTATGTGTTGGTAAGTTTACCAAGGTTCTATATCTATTTGTCACCATCAACAACTTCCAGAGCAATAAGTTAAAGCACAGCAATGAATATATTTGTCATTATGAACGATAGTTAACAATTTATAAACACTTTCTATATAATTTACATGATGCGTTTCTTTCTTATGTGATGCAGTACATGTAGTAAACACACTGCTGAATGTTTAATGTCCTTTTATGCATATTACTGTCTAATATTGAAAGCAGAAGTTTAAGTTGTTCTTGCTCTTCATGTCATGTTGGCCCATATTACCCACATAATGAGGCTCAGCAACAATATATATTAGAGCATTTTACTCATGCTGCTGTAGTTAGATAAAGGAGAGAGAGTAGCGCTGACTGCACACTCTGGTATTTGATCACACTATGAAATGTGTTTTTACAGGCCTGATTAAGCTGTGGGTGGTATTAGCCAGGAAAGATGGACACACATGTAATTTTAGGACACTGGTTGTGTCTCCAATACATTTTGAACTAATAAATCATTATGAAGTAAAATAAAAGTAAAATATATTTGTTGATCTTACAACAAAGCCAGCATCGAAGACAGAGCTCATCATCATCATCATCACATTTACTCATATTCATACAAATGAGATACAATCGTATCATACAAGTCTTTGAGAACATCTGCCTCAACACGAGAGCAAATGTGGGACTGGCTTTGTGTCATTTGGTGAAATAAAAGGCTGCGGACAGACGGCGAGCAGGACTTCTTGCTGTTGGACTAGTCAGTAATATTAGCTTGGCTTGCTGTTGTCTTGTGTTTTTGTCTTGTGTGCTAGCAGAGTTGTATAAAGTAATAAATAATAAAAAATAATTATTATTATTTAATTTGGTTTAATAATAATAAATGCATGTGTGGAGCTGTCCATATTTACCACAGAGGTATCTCAACTGGGGTTGTCAAATCGCTTGGAACAATAATGTGAGTCTGATGTGTGTTTTTCTGCTATAAATTATACTTTAAAACCCTTAATACATACATACATACATCTACTAATTTGACTTCTTTAAAAATTCCAGTCTATGAATATGCAAATGTAGTTCATCATTAAGTATTTGTGATTTCACAAATGATGCCCATAGGCCCCGCCCCTTAAAAACCCAACTACCAGTGAGCACAGAGAAACTTTGCAGATCAAACATCCTTCTAGAGTCAAACTACATCATTCTGCACTGTGAAGATCAAACATCCAACTGTAGGAACAAGAAGAAAAACAGATTTGTGAGTGGAGGGGGGCTTTAATATTACATTAAAAGTTGGTTAAAAGTGTGAATTAAAGATTCCCTGCATGGACAGAATCAATTTGTGTCACAACACACACAAAAAAAGGTGCATTAGCCAGCATGTCTGTCGCTGAGGAAGAGGACACGATTTCCAAATGAAGGGCTGGATTGAGTTTAAGGTTTGAAGTTCAGTCGAGCTGCAGACTTCAGTCGATGAGGAGCAGACAGCAGGTCAATATAATTCATTATCAAGTTTACTGAACCAAACCAACCCAGTATCACGCCAAAGCGTGTAATACACACGCCGGTCACTAGGGCCTTGCGTGTCCTCCCCACGCCTTTTATCTCACTAGCGTGTGGAGGACACGGTCATGGTAACACCTTAATATGAACGTGCAGTACCAGCAGATGGCAGTCATTTACTCATTGTCAACAACTATTACAACAACTACATGGAGCAGAGGAAGAAATCAGTCACGCCATTTTTACAGATCCCGACCCACCAGGTAAGTCCGTGATATGTTGCTGATTTTAATTTTTGTTTATGATGACTTTGTGTTGGATATGTTCTAGCCCGCCTATGTGTCTTACTATGTTTATTGGATTTGATGAGAGTCGGTAGAGATCTGAAGGTTATTAATTTGAGATTAAACTGAAGGACTCGGTTAGCAAACGCTAGCTATTTTAGCAATTAGCTTTACAACTAACGTCATATAAAAGTATGTTTCAGCTTTAAATTATTAAGGGGAAGTCTTGGTTAATGTTAATTATGGCCCCGCGACACTTTACGGAGGTCCGTTGTTTTTTCCTTCTCTCTCTTTTTTTTTTTTTTATCGTTTTCAGCAGGTCCGGTCAGCCAAGGTCCTTTTAAACAGCGCTAATGATGTTTTAGCCTGCCTATGAAGTTAACGTTATATGTACGTGTGCACAAGCATTAGAGGACTTCTTAAAATGTCCCCTAAAGGGACATGATAAAAAAGAAACCTTTCTAGTGAGCTAATGTTAGATACAGATCGAGTGTTGTGGCGAATCAGCACATGAATCATTTAAATATTTAAATTAGCCATGTGTTGATAGGTCACAACACGAAAATGTAACCAATGAAATTACTTATTTTGACACACATTTTAAGCCAATAAGTCTTAAACTAACAAGGTAATGTGTCAGAAGGTGGACTGTTTTTGTTATTTTCTCAAAAGGAGGACAAATGAGTGTCCGACTGCAGGACAGGGCATTTAATTGCGGAATGTAACAAAACAGGTTACAGATGAATTAGTTATCTAATATATAATAATATAATTAGTATCTAGTGCTCACAAAATAGTATCTAGTGCAATGCTCAGATGAGCCTCTCTGTGTCCAGTGTATTAATGTCTCTCCAGTCTGCTCCCATTTTACATATTCCTACAACAAGTTAGTTTTGCAGCCACAATCTTGCAGTGAAGGTGTCTAAATGGCACATTTAATTCATTTTGAGGAATTCTGCATAATCCTGTAGATATGTATTGTCCACAATGTCCACTGTGTTTTGCTAGCATGCTTGTAGTTGACACGTTGAAGATGACTAAGAATTCAGTATTTGCTCTTTGTGAAATCCAAAAAGGCTTGCTGCAAGATAATTGACCATGTTTTTATTTTCTTCTGTCCAACAGCTCCAGCCCATTCTCCCTCCTACCTTTACCTCTCCTTGGCTTTTTCTATAGTAAACCAACGGCTCTTTTAAGAGCCACTCCTCTACTGCACTCGCTCTCTCTCTGTCACACACACACTCTCACACACCCCTCTCTATCTCTTTCTCTCTCTCTCTCTCTCTCTCTCTCTCTCTCTCTCTCTCTCTCTCTATATATATATATATATATATATATATATTTGTTTGTTTGTTTACCTGTCTGTTTGTCTGCGTCTGCCTTAAATGGCTGATCCGCGGGGCAGTGGGAAGGCAGCGGATGCTCTTTTCCTAGCAGAAAAGTTACTGGCTGAATATAAAGTGAGTCTTGAGTATTTGTGATAATACTAAAACATGGCAATTTGTAAGTGTTCTGAATTTCAGTGTTATCATACAATGCACGCTTTTTCATGAAAGGAAAGGGAGGCAAAGAAAAAATCTGCATCCACTACACCTGCTGAAGGCAGTAAGCCTACTGTCCGATGGGTGGAGAGAGATGCAGATGGACGTCGAATCTTAAAAAGAAGCAGAAGTGGAGAGACACGGAAAAAACGTGCATCGGCTACAGGTATTTCATGTCTTGCAAGATAACTTGTCATTACCCTAATCAAATGAGTAATAACAAGTAACTGTGTCCATAGTATTTAAAATTAAGCTAATGTACAGTTTTTTTACATTTAAAACATAGACCACCGAACAGGGTGGGTTTTCCACTGTATGTCTGTTTCCTTTCTATTCGTCTATGGTGCCAAAAAGGCCACAGGTTGGATCTGTTACATTTGTTAAAATATATTTTCCGGGACCAGAAACATCTTTACACTACATAAGCTCAAATGTCAACTACTGTTATGCTAAACAAATGCAAAGATATGGAGTCAAGTTCCCTGATGTGTTGTCCCATTCTTCTGTTAAGGAGACTGAGATTTGTGTCAGTTAGATCTGTTTCCAGATTATGTCTTTTGATCCTCAAGTGCAAAGAATCTTCTACCGCTTATCCAGGGTCCGGTCGGGGGGCAGCAGCCTAAGCAGGGAAGGGAGGCTAAGAATCCAGATTTAACTGTGCAGCCTTATGTTACAGTACATACTGTATATTCTATACAGATTGACTTTTTTGTCTTTCCTTTTTTATCAATCTTTTCAGTTTCTGTTGCCCCTAAGGAGGCCTCTACTTCTTTTGAGCCTGCTGAGGAGGTTCCCACAGTGACCCAAGACACCCGTTGTCAATATGTATTTGGTAAGATGATACTTAATTGTAATTAAGTATTCAATGAAGTGTAATTAAGTTAGGACACAGTGTGTAGGAATGTTTAATTATTTAATGTTTATTTTATCTGTTTTTAAGACACTGAGATGCAGAGCTTAAAGGACATTCTGACTACAGCAAATGTTCAGAATATGGAAGAGCAGCCTTCAACGTCCACATCATGGTGCTTGCGACAGTCTGCTGCTCAAGATGAGTGGCGGAAAGCACGGTCCCATCACCTGAACTGTTTGCTGTCCTGCAATGAGGTCCCAAAAAGGAAGTGCTGTCATTGCACCTCCCCTGCTATAATTCGCTGCAGAGACTGCATGCCAGAGGAGTGGCTGTGTATGGAATGTGATATACACATTCATTTTAAACTCACACTCCATAACAGGGAGTCTTGCATTGATGGGATTTACAAGCCCATTGAGCCAACAGTGTACTGCGTAGAAAAGGATGGCGCATACTGTCTGGTCAATCAAGGTATTATTCTGATCCTTTTGGTAAAGTGCTTAAAGTTATGTTTGACCTTTTAGTTTAGATAGAAATCTTAATTGGATACATTTTTAAGTCTTCTCCCTAGTTACTGAACCTCTCTTTTCAGTGCGACTGTTGCCTACAGTGAGACCTTCCCAGCTCTGCACCTGTGACCCTGAAAACATTACAGAGTCAGCTGGCAGAGCAGTTATCTTGGTTTCCATAAATGGTATGGACTATCAATTTATTTAAGTTGTATGTCTCAAAATAACCACATATTTATCGTATTTTTTTTTTTGTTTTTAGGTCGGTATGATTTGCACATGCCAAAGTTGTTGTGCAGATTGTGCCTGGCACAGTGGACACCTGACAGAAGCGACCTTATAAAGAGTGGCTACTGGCCAGCAACTGTAAATGCTGAGACGTTGTTTTCAGTTGATGTCTTCAGCACATTTGAAGAAATGAAAACTGTTGCACCCAGTTTGTCCAGGCAAGCTTTTCTGCGGATGTTAGAGAGGAGAACTTCTCACTTTGGAAGGGTAGGTTCAGTGTGGATGACTGTTGTAGAGATTGGAGAATATTACTTTAGCTATTTCATGTAACTTTTTACAAATTGACAGGCTGGGAAAATACATGGAGACATATTCCAGAGAAGCTTCATGGAGTATACATTCTGCCAGTTCCAGTGTGACAAAATGGCCTGTGTTAAACAGTTCACCTGTCCTGCATGTACACCGAACATGCTGGCTCTCTGTGCAGATGGCAACCGAAAACAATACAGATTTCGACAGTCAAAGGGGTGAGTTAATTTACACTTTTTAAAATTAGCTGAATAAATAATGTCTGAGACCCACGAACATAATCTTTTTTTTTCTTATCTCATTAAGGTCAGAGGAGCCATATTTTGATGGCACTTTCATTGCCAAGGATTGTGACGTACATCATTTTGTTGAGGACGTCCAGAGCAAAATGAAAAGTGTTAGTAGTATTTGCACTGTTATTTAAATACATTATATGGCCAAACTTTTGAGATATATGCCTTTTACATTATTTAATAGTGTTAGTATTCTTCAAGGTCAGTTGTTGTCTGTCAATATAATATAAAAGTATGTAAGTTAAGGAAATGGCACATCCCAGTTTTAACCAGAATATTTTATCATCTAGACTGCTGGCAGAGGAATCTGTGGAGCCAGTAAGTGGTCTGCTGCACGAGAGACTGCCCGAAAAGCAAGCAAGCTGGATGAAGAGGGCCTTGAAGTGGTTGTTTGCAGACATGGAGTGCTGCTCAAGGCTCTCAACATGTACAGGGGGGAAATATTTGCCTATCCCCTTTTCCTTCAGAAGGAGCTCCAGGCAGCCACAAATGGGCAGTTCTACTGCACAGACATTGCATGTAAATACTGGCCCTACCTGGAGAAGTTGGCAGTGTCCATGGTGGACCTCAGACCTTTGCTACAGATGAGGCCATTCCTCTCTGTGATGCATGCTAAGGCCCATTCCACCAAGTGTGAGGTACTACATATTCATAATTAAAACAAGTGTAACTGCTTCAGTACTTAAATAATATATATGACAGGTTTCCCTGTGATTTGTTAGATCACATGGAGTGGCAGGAATCAGGAGGGTGCTGGAACAACTGCAGGGGAGGAGGTGGAAATGGTGAACAGCTTCCTTTCTCGATGTGCTCTCACGACTAAGTACATGACAAAATCTGGTAAGTATTCCTTATTTATATTACATTCTAGTCTTTTATTCTTTCTTCTTTTCATTCTAATACTTTGTACAGTATGAGATATTCTTAATTTTTATTCTAATATTATAATGCATTAATAAAACTTCTATTTGTCTCTAATTAAAGCTCAGTTGTGAATGCATGTACCATGACCATTAATGGGACTTTCCTCCTTGCAATGTATGTTCTTTTTTAAGCCCGGAATGACATGCTAACGATCCACGCCATTGGTTGGAACCAACGGAAGCAGGATGGCCTTCATCTTGCTTTATCCAGCAGATATGTCAAGGTATTGACCAGATGCCATGTGACAAAGCTGACAAACAATATTAGTTCTGTGTGTAAATGTGGTTGGAAAACATGACTGACAACATGATTACCTCATACTGCGCTTTTCATGATTTTCCTCACTTTTCTAAGATTTTAAGAAGATGGCAAAGTTTGTTTATTTACTTTACTGTAGACTTTCCAAAAGGCTCAAGAAGAGTCTCAGAGGCTGGAAGATTTGAGCAGAGAGCTTGGGTGTCCTGAGAACATGGTGCAGCAGTGGGTACACGATGTCAAACAATGGGCTGCTGATGGTACTGTATTTTATGGCTAATTTATTCAGTAATAATTTAAGATAATGATCAATTGAATAACTGAGACTGTATGGTCTGCTTTGCCCAAAGACCAAAAGTCAGCTTAACTTATATTTTGAACTCTTTCAATGCACTACCTAAATGAAATATGAAATGTTTACTTATATTTTTATTGTTGTTGTTTTTATTAAGATTCTCTAGGTACCCAACGCGATGACCAGCAGAATCTTCAGCAGTCCATTGAACAAATGTTTCTTAGTGTCCATCAGAAAAAAGCCAGCCTTTATACTCAAACTGGTATGTTGAAAACGCATGTAATATTTCTACCATCCGATGTCTGCATACACACATATGTGCATAATTTCTGTGGTTTCTAACTTTATAGATAGCAACAAAATTCGACACTTGCGTAGAAGGAAATTGAGGGAAGAGAAGAAGAAACTCCTGGAGACAATCAAGCTCTATAATGAGCAGGTGTCTAATGAGGAGCAGATCGATGTGGTGAAGGTGGAGAGCAGACTCTCTGTGGTTGGAGGAGACACTGGGGCAGATCTGATATGGCCATGGGAAGTGCACAGCAGTGGTATGGGACATTTTTTCTCTAAAGTGATTATAAGTTTGTGATCATGATTGACCAAACTAAAGATATGACATATTTGCTACTCTATACATACAGGTATGCCACACAAAAGATCTTGCTCACTTTACAGTGTTAATTCTGTAATGTTTGGGCAGCTGTGGTGTCTTTGAGTGTCATTTCTATACTTGTTGCCATTTGGATCTACACTTTTTATGTATGTATGTATAGCTCAACGTTGTTTTGATTGAATGTTGTTTGTATTACTTCAGAATCCAGCAATATCCTCACCAAGAAGAAGATTTTTGATGCATACATGTCAAAGATGAGGCTTCAGGAAGAAAGGGTCATTGTGGTGAGGGAGATGAGACAGCACTGCACCTACCTCAGAGGACTGGCTGAGAACATCAGGACAAAGATGTCAGAAATGTCCACTGTCAGGACCAGTGGTAGGTTAACTTGTATGTCCTTGCAGCTACGGTTTGGGGCATACTATGGATTTGTACCTTTGTACCACACTTGTACCACCACTACAGATCTTGGTTTGGAACAGTACACATGTTAAATTTACTGTCCAAATTCATGACCACTACAGGAACAATCCTATTGTTTTTTGTGAGTGACATTTCCCCTGCCACAGTAATCTCTGACTCAACCCTAACTTGATAGGATAGGTTCAGACTACTGATCAGAAGAAGTATCTAGTAGTGCTTTGAATTCCTTGTGGCAGAATGTAAATTCTGTACTTCTTCTGTAAAGTTAGTGAAGGTCTAGTTGAACATCACAAACTCACTGAAATTATGCCTCTTACATTTTTCCTTCTAGGAAGTTTAAGCGAAGTGGGACATCGAGGGCTACAGTGTCTTCTTCAGAAAAGGCTTGCAGATGTGGATGAGAAGTTCCAACTTGTATGTGCAAGTTACAGCCAGGCCCTGGGACCAAATGCTGCATCTTTGCTGGAGGACTGGCCCCAAGAAATACCGGAGTGCCAGACAGAACTGGATGAGAGTTCAGAAGACAGTGATTTTGAGGCATTGTAAATCTGTGCTTCTTGACGGGTGGGTTTTATGGCAATTCTGATTGGACTGCAAAAAATTAAGTTTTAATTGATCAATCTATAAAATAATAGATTGATTTATCGAGTTGGAAAACAGTTGTTAGTTGCATTCCTGTAGTATTTTCTGTATTATCTATTTGTTGTATCCTTTTATAATGCACTCTGTTGTAGTGGAGTATTTTTTAAAGTGTGTTATCAATGCTTTTCTTTATATAAAGGAATTTTATACTCACTACGCCACTGGATGTAATATATTTCATACTGTGTGCTCCAGTATGATGTCATTCATGGTGATAGTGTGACTAATCTTTGGAGTGAGCTTATGTACATGTCACTACATAAAATACTTTCCAAAACATACATATGATCAATAACAATAGTTGAGTCTTGAGTGTAGTGTTTGCAGTCATTACTTTACCAACTAAAGGAAGTAGTTTGTCATAGCATTACATGAGGCATGCATAAAAATGTGTTGCAGTGCTTGTAAACTTGCTCATGCTAAAGTGTTGTTAATGTCTATGAAAATAAAATGTGTGAAAATTTTTTTTTCTATTTGTAACTCTGTTTTCCAGTTATTTTATTTATTTATTTTTGGTAGACTATAGACACAAATAAACAACAGTTAATATTGTTATTATTATCATTAGTAGTAGTAGTAGTAGTAGTTGGCTATTTGCTGTCATATACAAATGTTTGGTCTTGTATCCCTAAGCAGCACCTTACTTTATATGATGCACTTTTACTGTTGACAAAACATCTGCAATAATACTTTATTAAGTCAAAAAGCTTATGAGAAAAAATCATTATGTGATTGATTGGACACATTTCACATTATTTTAAGAGGCTGTCCTTCCCCCAAAAAATGACCCTATAGGTGTTTGTACATGCAGCTTAAAAGTCTTCCTCAATAGAGATACACACAGTCCATGCGTGTGCATTAAATCTCTATATCTTTGCACTTGTCATTTTCATATATTTAATCAAACTGGGCTTTCCATTTGGCATTACATCCAACCCCTGCTGTTGCATAATCATAAAAACATATATCCATATATATATATCCATATATCCAAACATATATATTATATATATATAACAAATATCCAGGGTTGTGTTAATAGCTTATGTATGACTAAGAATGGGTCTAACCCTAAATCAAGCAATTCAGGCCTTCTTCAGAATCAGATCAGAATCAGAATCAGAATCAGAATCAGAATTCAAAACCTCTAGTACTGCCCTAGATTGTCATTAGTATTACAATCTCCTAAAGTGACTAATTTTGGTCCCTAATTCCACTAATAAATAACAAACAAATAAACAAGAGCTTCATTTTATCCACTGGTCCTTCAAAGTGCTCTTAGAAACTAAGCCTGTGATGGCTTGGGTCCATGAAATGTGAAAGTTAAAACTTTGTCATAGAGCTAAACCAAATACATCATTGGAAAGGTCTCGGCCTGGAGAGTAACATATATCAGTATGAAGACTCTACATAAGCGCCTGCTTTAAAATATTGACCTTTAAACCTTGAACTTGGTGCTTATAGAAAGCTTCAAGTTTGGCTGTAAAATAGGGTTATGAAATTATATTTATACTGAATATATGAAATATCTGGTACAGCCGAAGTAGTAATCGGACTGTATCTAGATAATCTATGTTAAGAAAAGGTATATACGTTGCTTTATTTCGGATATATTCGCTTATATCCTAGAAATTGCGCTTTTGGGGCGGTAGTTTTGTGTCATAAAGTAGGGTTGTAAAATTATATTTCTTCTGAATATATGAAATATCTCGTAGAGCCGAACTGGTAATCACGCTGTTTCGAGATGATATATGTTAAGAAAAAGTACAGTCGTTGCTTTATTGCTGCTATTATCACTAATATCTTAGAAATTGCGTTTTGGGGGCGGTACTTTTGGGTCGTAAATTGGGTTTGTAAAATACGGATATGAAACGATATTTTTACTGAATATATCAAATATCTGGTATAGCCGAACTAGTAACTACTAGTATATAGACGATCTGTGTGGAGATAAAGTAAAGATGTTGCTTTATTTCTGCTATCTTAGGTAGTATAGTAGAAATGGCGTTTTGTGGACGGTAGTTCTTCCAAGTTGCTAAGTTGTGACGTAAAATATGGTCGTAAAATAATATATTAATTAATTATAATATATTTGTTGAATATATCAAATATCTACTACAGCCGAATTAATAATTGCATTGCATATAGATGATCTTTGTTTATAAAAAGTAAAGATGTTGCAACCTATGTGTTTGTTTGGGTTGGAGGACTTTTATTTTAATCATATCAGAGCAAATCATAGTATAGTATGGCCAGAATGTTTTCATACAGACAAGAGTGTGAAGAATGTACTTATATTTTTGCCCAAATGTAGATAACATGAATTAGAATGATAAACGTATTAGATAATAATCACTTTATTCATCCCCAAAGGGAAATTCAAATGTCTGTCAGCTCATCTTTTGATCAAAGAAGTGTAAAGCCTGATGACTGTAGGTACACAATATGTCCTGTATCTCTGAGTCCTTGAGTGGAGAGATAGGAGCCTGTTGTTTCTTTGGTCCATCAAGGTGTTAAGTGGTTGAACCATGTTGTTCAGGATGGCCTCCATCGTCTTCATTGTGTATCTCTCCACCACATCCCCCTGAATCCATCTTGGCTCCAATTACAGAGCCAGCCTTCCCATAGTATTATCTCCAAGAACAATGTACCAATGATATTAAAGAAGACTTCATTTAGTATGTATTTATTAAAGAAAGTACTGCAAATGAACACTCATTGCTTCAAGTGGCAATAATTGGCAACACTGCAGAACAATCAAATAACAAAACAACATGACAAACACAAGGGCACTGCAGTCCCATCTGCACTTTGGCAACATTAGCAAGTGGTGTCTTTATCCGGCACCCACTCCAAAGGCCAGTCCTTTCCACTGTAACACAAAAAAAGAAAGCAACTGATGTTATGTTTGGTTATGCAAATGCATAGTCAGACATAGTAAGACTCACATTAGACCCCTGTGACTATTTTCCAATAGTTGTATCGTAGTGGATTTTAATGAAATGGACAGTAAATTAATAGTCAAGAAATGGTTGTAGAAGAACACCATGGGGTGCACACAAGTCACTCATGTATCCATTCTCTTCCACTTATCCCTGTTGGGGTCACAGTGGGGCTGGAGCATATCCCAGCATCTTTTGGGTGAGATTATCCTATCCCCAAAATGCGGTGGGAGGGAGCCAGAGTACCCACGCAGACACAGGGAGAACATGCAAGCTCCACACAGAAAGATCCCAGGATAATCTAATCTCCCTCTTGCTGTGAGGCAACAGTGCTAACCACCAAGCCACCGTGTTGGTGTTTTATGTCATATGGCCAAAATCACAAATTGCATTTGTTTTGTTGGGCTTTACAATATGTACAGTATGTGACACCCTCTGTCCTTAGACCCTCGATTCAAGTAAGGAACCAGTGTTATTTTTGGTGGGAATGTCTGGAAACTTAACTTTTAAATGAATATCATATACAAAAATGTATCATATACAATCATGTTAGCATGTACACCAATCATCCACTAATAAAGTGAGAGTAAGGCAGTAAGGCAGTGATGCAGTGACGGACAATTTTAGCATTTTTAAATAAGCCTCTTTCTGACTTCTGTACAATGGTGCTGTTAGCAGAGAAGCATGATAGATGTTTTAGAATTTCTGACTGAGACAACTGCAGCCTCTTTATATTCAATGACACTATATTCACAGGGTGGATAATCATGGACTAAACCTATGTGGCTTTATTTATTTTTCACATTTCTCCTAGAAGACTAATATATTTTATATAATGTAGGCTATTTCAGCACTGAATGTTTAGTGTGGGGACAATTTTGGCCATGACTAGATTATTGGTGTTCATGTGAATGTTCTCAGTGTTGGTGTCAAGTAAGACTGGAGACAGATTAGGAGAAAACAACATAACATGTAAACTATGACAAATCAGAAGTCATACATACCAGAGTTTGCACGGCTCCCACTCCACCAGCTTCAATTTTTGTCCCTAAAAAATAAAGAGACTTTTTCAGTTCAAATATTTGGCTATACCACTGTCTTGACTACTTTTTCAGGATTATTACACAGATTACAGAAAAACTATCAGCACTTTTTGACTGGAAGATTCTCTAACATGAGACTTTCTAAAAAACTTGGAGTTCAGAGGTTGCTTTTATAGACTTTATCCACAATATGAAGAACCAACAATGACAGACAGGAAGTAACCCATAAAGAAATAAAATCATTTTGAATTCCTTATGATTACGGCAGGTGAATGACTCTGACTGTGTGGGATTATTGAACCTTTACAACTTTGCATTTGGCAACCCTCTTCACAGGGTAGAAATCTTGGCTCCCTGACACTGTATGTGGGCATTCTGAAAGGGAAAATATGAGGTTAAAAAATCTTAATACTACACTAAACCTTTACAGACTGGTGGACTTTTTATTGTAGTTATTCTGGTACAGAGCTGGCATGCATCATTGGTAAATTACTGTGATCAATGGACTATAGAGATGGGTGATAGGATAAATATATTGGCAATCAGTGCTCAAATCAATCAAAATCAATTCAAATTACTGTGTCATGGAAGTGTAGAGCACTTCACAGCAGAGACTAGGGTATTTTTGTCTTCGACAACCAAGATCTCTTCAAAATCATGTGTTAGTAGACATGTCTGTTTACAAAGAATGGACACACTTACTGTATGAATTAAGGGAAACGTGTAGCAATGAGACCAGTGGGGAAAATAAAAGATTACAGTCTCATTCACTGTCAGCTAATGCTCTTACTTAACATCTAAACTGAGACCAAGTGATGACCAAGACTAGACCAATGCAAATCCCACACTAAAATGAAAGGTGGAGCATTCAAACTATAAGCACATTTATTTAGAGTGACATTTAGAGTGAATTGATAACAATTAATCAACTATTGATCAACTATTACATTAATCAAGTATTAATTTATTTTATTATGATTTTAGCCTCTCAGGTGTGAATACGTTTTAATTTCTTTACTCCTCTATGACCGTGTACTGACTTGGCTCTGACACTATTATGGACAAAAAATATTTGATGACAAAACAATTACAATTATATACACACATTTTTAAACCATATTCTGACATTTATGGATTGACATTATGACACACCTTTCCTCTTTCGTCGCAGCACTGCACTGGGAGCTGAACAGCCTTCTTCAATGTCATCTATTACAGGAAAGGATATAAAATGTGTGATCATGATTAAAAAATGTGCTTAATATTACATCAATGTGAATAACAAACATAAAAAAAAATGTATAGATCCAGTGCTTTTCTATTGCATCAGAGATGACAATTTTGGAATATAAGTTCACCATGAAAGCTCATAATTAAGATGCTCTTCATTGGGGATTAATGGCAGCACACAGTGAACATTTTGGGTGAATTGCCCCCTTAAGGATAACCTGGCTTTAGCAGGCTAATACAAACATTTCTAGCTGCCGAATTACTGAATTACTTGTACATTCCTTTTGGACTAACATTATCGCAATGAAGGAATTAATACACAGTGGATGATTCTACAGCACCATAGTTGTACTTCATATTTAACATGTTACTGTCACATCCTCCACATCCACATTAATAACGTGAAATACTTAAATCAATTCCTGAAAGTGTCTATGCACCTGAAGCACCGGAAGCCATATGAACACCCAGAGACAATCAGGGCTCTATTTTTGCCTGGCGCAATGTGGTGCACAGCAAAACACAGCACAGTGCTGTAAACGTGTGTGCTCCATGCTTTATGGACTATGCACTATAGAACAACTAAATAGGACCCTAAGTGTCCTAATACAGTCTAGGCCCCTGGCCTCTGAAGGTGGGAAGGTCAGAAAAAGTTGGAGAATCATAGATACAGGCGTGATGTATGATATGTAATGATAACAGCTTAATCCAATAACCTGTTTTCTTTTCTATCCTTATTTTTTTAATATCCATTTCTGCCATTCTTATACACAATGGGATGTCTGGTGCTGAGGATTTATTTACATTTTCACATTACACAAAGTAACAATATGGTTTTGTGGGGTTTGCTATTTGTTTCCTACATACCTTTTTCTAAAGAAACTGGGGTTGCTGGAGTTCCCTCTGAGGAATGGGGTCCAGATGATGATGGTTCAGTTTGGGCTGCTGGTGGCCTAGTCAGGGACTTGACTGATGTAGCCGAGGTTGCTGTGGGATAAAATGAAGCCACTGCTACTGGTGGGTCTGGTTGGGCCATTAGTGGTCCAGTTGGGGCTGCTGGGGGATCAGGTGGAGCCAATGTTTGCTGGGGATCTGGTGGAGCGACTGGTCCAATTGGTGGTTCAACTGGGGCTGATGAGGGTTCATCCAACTGTTCTGTAGCATCTTGTGGGACCCAGTCTGCATAGCAGAGAATTAGGAGTAATTATGTTTTCAATGCGGTTTATGTTATAAACGCAATGTGCAATATAGTAGTATATTGTAAAATACAGAGTTAACTAGGGCTTTACCAAAAAGATTTTCAGTTGAACTGGATTTGGCTGTTCAACATGATTTTTAATATTTGTTAGTTGCCTTTCTTTGTTATTGGTGATGCCAAAATTTTAAATTTTGCATTTGGTCAGAAAGTGAGTGTCCTGCTCATAGTTCAATTAAAAAAGTATACCACAAAGCATTTCTCCTGCCAGGCTGCTGTCAGCTGAACAGTCAATCACAGTGGACAGCAGTAGAGGAAGATGTTCCATTAACTTAATCAAAATTCTCAGATTCTCATGGATTTTTCTGTGTGGACTTTGCATGTTCTGTGTGATTAACTGGCAACTTACAAGTACTTGTGTACTTGCCCGAAAGATGCTGGGATAGGCTCCAACCCACCTTGGTCTCAACAGCGATAGCGGTAGAGAATGAATGGATGGATGGATGTTCAATTAGGTATCTATTCAAATAATTTTCAAATTGATTTTACTTCTGTTATTACCCTTCTTGGAGGGCAGTTTAGCCAGAAAAATGTGTGGACTCATCAGCAATAGCTTTTTACTCCGCTAGGATCAGTGTTACTAACTACAAAGGTAAGTAAAAGTATACAGCCCTCAACGTGCATAGAGCAATAGGTTTAGGGTGTTGCCTAAAACTCAATGAGTGACTGAAAAAACCTGCACATCTATATAAGTTTGTAAAAAAGTTCCATCTCCTCAACCCACAGAGCTTAAGCATAGCGAAATGGGTTACTCATCGTGACTGTGACCACAAAGCTGAAAACCAAACACAGAAGACTCACCTTATAAACCGTGAACAAGAAGTCCATAAAGGTCCTTCATTCTGTCCACACATGTAGTGGCGTACTCTGTCAATTGGCAACGGGGCGCTAGCACCTCGGACAGCCAGGTGTTTGGTTTTTTGCCAGGTTTTGCTGTAAAGAGCATTGCCCTTACACCCAGGGCCTGCAGTTTTTCAAGCTAAAAAGGACACACACAAAAGAAAAGTAAGAGATAACATTAATATTAACATTCATAACAACATTTGCAAATTGCACTGCATTAAAACAACAAAAAGGAATATCATACCAATATATTTGCTTCATCGTGGATATGAGATACAGTCCTGTTTTTCTTGTTTGTTTGGACCCAGCTCTCCCGTTTCTCATCAAATTTAGCCAGTTTCTTTTTAAGCCTCAATTTATGTGGCTGTCCTGCCTTGCATATTTTGCAGGTTTTGCAAGCTACGTTTATGATAGCATGACAGGCCACACACTCTCTTGAGGTTGACCCCTGGCCTGGCATGTCTCTGAAACAGAAAGATAGACAGACAAACAGAAGACAGACAGAGCGACAGACAGATTATAGACAGAGATGAAGCTGTGTATGTGTGTGAGAAAAAGAGAGGTGTGTGTGTGTGTGTGTGTGTGTGACAGAGAGAGAGCGAGTGCAGTAGAGGAGTGGCTCTTAAAAGAGCCGTTGGTTTACTATAGAAAAAGCCAAGGAGAGGTAAAGGTAGGAGGGAGTATGGGCTGGAGCTGTTGGACAGAAGAAAATAAAAACATGGTCAATTATCTTGCAGCAAGCCTTTTTGGATTTCACAAAGAGCAAATACTGAATTCTTAGTCATCTTCAACGTGTCAACTTCAAGCATGCTAGCAAAACACAGTGGACATTGTGGACAATACATATCTACAGGATTGTGCAGAATTCCTCAAAATGAATTAAATGTGCCATTTAGACACCTTCACTGCAAGATTGTGGCTGCAAAACTAACTTGTTGTAGGAATATGTAAAATGGGAGCAGACTGGAGAGACATTAATACACTGGACACAGAGAGGCTCATCTGAGCATTGCACTAGATACTATTTTGTGAGCACTAGATACTAATTATATTATTATATATTAGATAACTAATTCATCTGTAACCTGTTTTGTTACATTCCGCAATTAAATGCCCTGTCCTGCAGTCGGACACTCATTTGTCCTCCTTTTGAGAAAATAACAAAAACAGTCCACCTTCTGACACATTACCTTGTTAGTTTAAGACTTATTGGCTTAAAATGTGTGTCAAAATAAGTAATTTCATTGGTTACATTTTCGTGTTGTGACCTATCAACACATGGCTAATTTAAATATTTAAATGATTCATGTGCTGATTCGCCACAACACTCGATCTGTATCTAACATTAGCTCACTAGAAAGGTTTTTTTTTTTATCATGTCCCTTTAGGGGACATTTTAAGAAGTCCTCTAATGCTTGTGCACACGTACATATAACGTTAACTTCATAGGCAGGCTAAAACATCATTAGCGCTGTTTAAAAGGACCTTGGCTGACCGGACCTGCTGAAAACGATAAAAAAAAAAAAAAGAGAGAGAAGGAAAAAACAACGGACCTCCGTAAAGTGTCGCGGGGCCATAATTAACATTAACCAAGACTTCCCCTTAATAATTTAAAGCTGAAACATACTTTTATATGACGTTAGTTGTAAAGCTAATTGCTAAAATAGCTAGCGTTTGCTAACCGAGTCCTTCAGTTTAATCTCAAATTAATAACCTTCAGATCTCTACCGACTCTCATCAAATCCAATAAACATAGTAAGACACATAGGCGGGCTAGAACATATCCAACACAAAGTCATCATAAACAAAAATTAAAATCAGCAACATATCACGGACTTACCTGGTGGGTCGGGATCTGTAAAAATGGCGACTGATTTCTTCCTCTGCTCCATGTAGTTGTTGTAATAGTTGTTGACAATGAGTAAATGACTGCCATCTGCTGGTACTGCACGTTCATATTAAGGTGTTACCATGACCGTGTCCTCCACACGCTAGTGAGATAAAAGGCGTGGGGAGGACACGCAAGGCCCTAGTGACCGGCGTGTGTATTACACGCTTTGGCGTGATACTGGGTTGACCAAACATGTGCAACATGGGTTGAGAATATAGCAGAGTGCACAGTCTCTATCTGCCAACATAGGTCTTACACAACGGACACATGTTCCATATTGATTGGATGAATAAAAAGTTTGCACTTTAAAACTGAGTGCACTGAAACCAAATCAGTCAGCATACCTGTACTGGGAACTAATTACTTATATTATCACTTTAAGTGCAGTCTGTATTATTTGCCGTTGGCTCTGGACTCCAGCTGAAATGAAACAGTGATGGTGAGGTCACAATGAGCTTTAATTTGATGGTGTTCACATCCATTAATATATAAATGAATATCCCTTCGCCAGGTCCATGTCCACTACCCACAGGTTGTTTTCCAAATGAATAAATCCAAGAGAACAGCACATAAAAAGGGACACAGTGAGGCACTGAAGTTTTAGTTTTCCACAAATTTCTTTCCATTGAATATCAACTTAATTATCTGTTAACATCCTAACATTTGCAGGTCAATCTCTGGTTGTCATTGTTAGCAGACCTCCAGGCTGCAGTGCAGCTCCGTACTCTTCACTGATGAGCCACACTGATTAGACTGAAGTACATGGCATTAGTATCAAATTAATGTTAGTTTCAGTTACACATCTCTTCTTCCCGTCCCTATCCCTCTCTTGTTTGCCCAAACAAGTCCAGTCTCTACTTCTGTCTTTCTGTTATTTGTTATTTCTGTCTTTGCGAGGTTAAATTGTGATTAAAAACAAATTCAATTAAATTATCATTCCAATATTTTTACTGATTGTCACATTATATAATCACAGTAGTACTCAATACCCCAGAAAAAAAAATACAAAAATAAGAAAAGGAAGGAAAATAAATAGAAATTACTCAGTATACACAAGGTAACTATACTGTACATACACATTATTTCCTTCATACATCCATGTCTCTGTGTGTTCTTCACAGTCCATCGTTGAAATCCACACAGTTCTGGTGGATGCTGATCCTAACAGCAAACTAACCTGAGTAGTCTGTCTAGTTAGTCTGTTTTAAGGCTATATAATGTGCCATTTGTATAACATATAAAACGTGTCTAAAGTGCCCTCTACAGTGGTGAGGACCTGCTATATGTGCCCTTTTTTTTCTTTCCGCCCCTGCCCTTCAAAAAGTCTGTGCACGCCACTGCTCACCATGTCATAGAATCACCTCTTCAGTTTCACCTATGTGTCGTCTCAAGGTTGCCTTAATTTCATTTATCCACTTTCACTGGTTTCAGCTTAACTAGTTTATGACTCGACTCACTCGTCTGCTTTGACTGAGCTGCTGAGCGTCAACCTGGAGGGGGTGGGACTTAATTCCCCTCTCCAATCAGATATCTGTATTGACTGATACAGCCAATAAGAACCAATACTGAGCAACCTCACTTTGACTGACACATTTTTTAGCAAACAGAAAGTAAGAATGAGAATAAAATGAAACTAAGAGATGAACTATCTACTGGGTTACGTAAAGTGTTATTAAAGTTTAAATATATGGAACAAAAGGATCGCAGGAAGTCTCTCATCAGAGAGAAAGCTCCTTGTGTCCACCATCATCAGTCTTCTAAGTTTCACATTCCATGACCATAACTCGATATCTCCTGATTTCTGGAACACAACAAGAAGTTCCTGTTCCTGTTTAGGTTGTTCCAGCTGTTCCAGTTGCCTGTCTCGTTACTTCCACGTTCTTTACAGTACAAAATGTTTTACGTTGTTTAATTAAAGAAAATTAAAGGAAATTGTATAATACAGATCTAAACGATGAAGACCTGAACACAAACTATATTCACAGAGCCTTCAATCTAAACAGCCTCGTCCTGCATTAGAAAGGTGGTCAAAATAACCAAAGAGCTAATAGAACAAAAGGGAAGTATGAGGGACAAGAAAACACTTACTTTTTCATTTTTATTAGTAATTAATCACTGGGGATTAATAATACACTCGTAAATGGGGCACCACCTCCGTTGTTTAGCTACTGGAATAATCCGGAGGAAATTATTCCACAGATCTAATCAAATCAATTTTAAATCAATTTATTAAGTTTCAAAATCTATATTTAATCTCATATTTCTGAAGTAGTGATTTCTTTTACACGATTCATCGATTTCCCCGCATCAAATCAAACCTGCACCAACAAGGACATACGGTTATATATGTTTATTAACTAAACTAATGCAGAGTAAATAGCATGAAATGATAAACAAACAAATGACAACAAGTAACAGAATATGTGGACAATATATGAATTATTACTATTAGGTGATTCAGGAGCGATGGTGGATTTTGCGATGCGGCAGTAAGTTTAAAATATTACGAGAGTAAATTTTAGAACTGAGAGGCCCTAATCCAAAATTCTCTTAAACTTAAAAGATGGGAATCAAAGCTTACAGACAGACACCAGCTCTTCTTCATGTGTGTGAATCCTGCTGGTACCGGAGAGTCAGCCTACTTTGTTTGTAGATGGAACTTGGAAGGATTCCAGGTCCTTGGCTTTCAGCTCAACTGCGGCTTTGCGTCACTGATCCAACAGGCTGAAGGGAGTTGTAGTCCCTGGTTCCAGTGGCAATCTCTCCAAAAGGCCCAGCTGTGTGCGCTAGTGAGCGTTGGGGGCAAGGTGGCTGGAGAATAATGTCTTTATTCGGCTGGAAACGTTTATACGTCTTCTTGAGCAGTCAACTACTGCGACGTCCTTCTGGCTGATGATGAATGTCTTAGAGTGGTTGGTCTTCAGCTCTGATTGTAAACTCATTCAGCTTCTTGTTTAAAAATAACTGGAGGATGAAACGCTGGCCTGGAGAATTCTCCAAGAAAGTCCAAGAATTTGATTAAATTCACTTTCTGTGAAAAGGCGACAATACTTGACGATAAGACTACAAAAATATAAAAGAAGAAATTCGTTTGTGTCTTTAGCTTTCAAAATAAAAGTACTTGAAAAGTACTTCAGCACGGCAAGTTATTTCTTGAGGAAAAAATCAACACGTGTCGCAAACGAAGTAAAATAAAGTACGGAAATTAAAGAAAAAGCGAGAATAAATAACGAGTTGATACAAGAGAGAGAAGAAAAGCGAGAGGAGCGAAGAGTGACCGGAGTCTATCTCTTATAGCTTTTATTTTGGAGGCGGAACTGGACGAGAGGAGCTGACCGCGCGCGTCACTTCCTCTGGTGATAATTTGATATACGTAACTTTATAATTTATTCCTATCGTGTTTTAAAGTTTCGAGATCATAATTCACCGTTCACAGAACCCACCATGACTTAATACATAGTTCACATATTTTAACATAACATAACCGAAATTACTTAATGTAAAGGTAAAGTGGAACTTCATTAAAATCATTAAATCATTAATCATTAAACACACACATAAAGTAGCACTGAGGGATTGTACATATTTCGTATAGTGCTAGATTAATCCTTGTTATAACAAATATGTGTCAGGCATTTACTTATTGTATTACTATACAGTTATCAAACAAAGTTCGTTTTGAAAGTACCTTACGCTATACCAGAACCTTACCAAAAGGTGGCGCTGTGGCTCCATCAAACATTCAGACATTTTACACATGATTTTGTAACTTAGTCCAATCTGAAGACAGAAACATCAGACAAACATTACATTTGCGTCCTTCTCATGCTGGATGGCAATCTGTTAATTAGGAGGAGATGAAATTTTACCATAATACTCCAACAGAACTAAATCTATATCCGTGCAACTGTTGTTACTGCTTCCTAGATTGGATTGTCCACTATCAAAAGAAAACATCGTCATTTACACTTTAGAGGAAGGGGTGTCAGAATACCAGATGTGGATTCCAGAGGAGTTTCTCTCTGGAGGTGGACCTGTCAGACTAAAAGAGATGTAAACACATTTCAGGGATATCTAACCCTGATTTACAATCAAAAAGGCATTTAATTATCACACACGATCTACTTTAGGTGTAGGGTGTCGTTCTGATCTGTGGAGAAGTCAGTGTTCTGTTAAAGAGGATAAAACATATTGATACCTTAGAGATCCCATCTGAGAATCTGAAAAGAACCAGGCTCTCTGTGCAGGAGACTGTCGGCGCCACAGTCTCACCTCCCCTCCTGGGTCAAAAAGGTCAAAGGGAAAGAGGAGGCCTTGAAAACTCTCCTGGTGGAACAAAATCAAAATAATATGATGATTGTTGAATTAAGAGACAGATAAAGCGTCTCTTGTAGAGGAAGACGAGGACAAGGTCCTACAGAAGTGTATTCAACTATTATGACAGTTCCTAAAATCAGGAACACTCTTCCCTGATGCAATAATCAGAGGAAATAATCTGCTAGAACTCCCTCCAAATCCTTCCTCATTTTACACAAACTTCCAGTTATTATGTTCACTACAACTATAACATAATATCAATACATATATTAAAAATATAAACACATGAAATGTTTGAATAAGAAATAATGGCATTATACGTTTGCACAAACCCAAGGGGGGTTCCAAATATATTTATTTAAAGGACCAGTGTGTAGGATTTAGTGGCATTTAGTGATGTGGTTGCAGATTGCAACTCACATGCTTCACCCTCCCTTTCCAAGTGCGAAGGAAAACTACAGTGGAAAAACCTCACCAGTCCTATCTGAGCTAGTTTTTGTAAAAGGGTCCAACTGCAGCACCACAGACCTCCTTCATTAAGCCTCTCTCCTCAGGCCCCTGCAATCTCTCTCCTCAGGAACCTACAATCTCTCTCCTCAGGCCCCTGCAATCTCTCTCCTCAGGAACCTACAATCTCTCTCCTCAGGCCCCTACGATCTCTCTCCTCAGGCCCCTACGATCTCTCTCCTCAGGCCCCTACGATCTCTCTCCTCAGGCCCCTACGATCTCTCTCCTCAGGCCCCTACAATCTCTCTCCTCAGGCCCCTACGATCTCTCTCCTCAGGCCCCTACGATCTCTCTCCTCAGACCCCTACAA